TTAGAATGATTTCGCTAACTTTTAAGGGGGATTATAAACCCAATAAGACAAATTTGATTTTGGGTTTTTTGTCTGTAGTGTATTTTTTTTCACCACTTGATTTTATACCAGAAATTCCTTTGGGTCCTGTTGGATTTTTAGATGATGCCGCTATACTGGCTTTTGGATACAGTAGAATAAATAAAGAAATATATAGATTTATTAAATGGGAAGAGCAGCTTAATCCCAATAATACCACAATTGATATCGAATAAGAAACTATTGGTAGCAGTTTTGGCCCCCACAACAGGTACTCTTTTGCTTTCTGGTATTATGCTTAAAATGGGACTTTTTGGATTAATGAAATGGCTTATTCCCATTTTACCCCACGGAACAAAGGTGTGGGCACCACTTGTTTTGGTATTATGTGTAATTGGTGTTTTATATGGCGCAATACTTGCTTTTTCTCAGAAAAATGCTAAACGCATATTGGCTTATGCCTCTTTTTCTCATGTGGGTTTAATGGCAGCAGGTATATTTGTTTTAAATACATATGGATGGCAAGGAGCCATTGTTCAAATGTTTGCACACGCCATAAATGTGGTGGGTTTATTTTTTGCAATTGAAGTCATTGCCCGCAGAACTGAAAAATATAAAATAAATAACCTTGGAGGAATCCGTCAGCAAGCACCAGTATTTGCAACATTTTTTATGGTGGTGGTATTTGCCTCTATCTCTTTGCCCCTTACTAATGCCTTTGTGGGAGAATATTTATTGCTGATTGGATTGTACCAATACCATTATATGTTATCTGTTTTAAGCGGAATAACAGTTATTTTAGGAGCAGCTTATATGTTGCGATTATACCAAAAAACCATGTTGGGAGAGGATAGACAAATAACAAAAAATTTTCAACCCTTACATTGGAGTGAAACTTTATTTTTTGTGCTGGTGACATTAACAATATTTGTATTTGGTATTCATCCTCAACCCATTATAGACATGGCGAAACAGGTGGTTGAGGAAGGATTAAAATTAGGTTTAAGATAAAACAAAATACGTGATTACACTCATATACATATCAGTTCTAGGCATTTTATGTTTGGTGGCAGAATTATTTAATGCCCGTAAAATTATATTGCCACTTATTGTGGTTGGGCTATTGGGGGCTATTGGTCTTGCTCTGCAAAGTCCTTTAGGTGATTATTATAATGGAATGCTAAGTATAGATCATTTGTTTCTATCCTTTGCTCCTATATTAATTTGCATTACTCTTTTTTTAGTATTGATGGCTGGTTATTTTTATGATGATAAAAAAGAAAATATTTCTGATTATGCTGCTGTTATTTTATTTATTCTTGCAGGATCATTAGCTATGATTGCATTTGGGAACTTTGTTATGTTTTTTATTGGTATAGAAATATTATCAGTATCGCTTTATATTTTGGTGGGTTCTAATAAAAAGGAGATGTCTTCAAATGAAGCCGCATTTAAATATTTTTTATTAGGATCTGTAGTATCGGGTATATTGTTGATGGGAATCACTTTTATATATGCTATTACAGGTAGTTTTGATCTTTCAGAAATAGCTCAAGTTATAGAAAACCAACCCAATAATATTTTATTACAGGTGGGTGTTGTATTGGTTATTATTGCCATATTATTTAAAGCTTCAACGGTACCTTTTCAATTTTGGGCACCAGATGTATATGAAGGAGCTCCAATTTTAACCACTGCACAAATGTCAACATTGGTTAAAGTGGCAATATTAGCAGCTTTTTTTAAATTATTATCCACAGCATTTTTACCCATGTTGTTTTTTATTGCTCCAATTTTAGCAATTATTTCTGCACTTACCATGATTGTGGGTAATCTTTCTGCATTTAAACAGAACAATGTAAAAAGATTATTGGCATTTTCTGGAATTTCTCATGCAGGATTTATGTTGATGACTTTATTAAATCCTACCAAGGGGTCTTATCCAATTTTATTTTATGCTACAGTATATTCTTTAGCTTCAATAGCCATTTTTTCTATTGCAATTCCCTTATTTAAACAGACAAAAAATCCAGATATAAGTTCATTTGATGGATTGGCAAAGAAGCACCCAATAGTAGCTTTTTTAGTAACTATTTCTTTTCTATCCATGGCTGGAATCCCCCCATTAGCTGGTTTTTGGGCAAAGTATTATTTATTTATAGATATATTTAAAGATTATTTATGGTTGGTAATTATTGCCATACTCAATTCTGCAGCCTCTATATTTGTGTATTTTAAGTTTATTTGGGCAATGTATACAAAAGAAGACGGCAATGCACAGAAGATTGAAATTCCAATGATATATTTTTTTGTGTTAATGTTTTGTGCATTAAGCCTTATGGTATTAGGAATTATGCCCTCGGTTTTAAATTATTTATAAGATTAATTTTTTAAAGGAATACTCTCATCAATTTTAGCATATAATCATCATTTGGTTAAAGCAAGATATTTCACTAATTTTGAGTTAACTTTATAAATATATGGCAGGTAACAGTTTTGGGAAAATATATTCGTTAACCAGTTTTGGAGAAAGTCATGGAGTTGCCATTGGAGGGGTGATAGATGGTTGCCCAGCGGGTATAGAGGTGAATTTAGATAAAATTCAATTTGAATTAGATAGAAGAAAACCAGGTCAATCGGCAATTGTTACACAAAGAAAAGAGAGTGACATGGTTCAGTTTTTGTCAGGTATTTTTGAAAACAAAACAACAGGAGTTCCAATTGGATTTATAATTCCAAATGAAAACCATCATTCTAAAGATTATAATCATTTAAAAGATAATTACCGTCCTTCTCATGCAGATTTCGTATACGACCAAAAATATGGGCATAGGGATTATAAAGGAGGAGGAAGATCTTCCGCTAGAGAAACAGCAGCGCGTATTGTAGCAGGAGCAATAGCTAAACAAGTGTTACAAAACGTTGAATTTTATGGATATGTTTCTGCAGTGGGTAATTTGCAATTAAATAAATCATATCAAGAATTAGATTTATCTTCAGTAGAGGATAATATTGTGCGTTGCCCAGATCAAAAAATGGCAGAAAAAATGATAAACTTAATTAAAAAAGTAAGAAAAGAAGGAGATACCATTGGAGGGATAGTTACTTGTGTGATAAAAAATGTTCCCATTGGACTTGGAGATCCAGTATTTGATAAACTACATGCAAAATTAGGGCAAGCTATGCTTTCCATTAATGCAGTAAAGGGATTTGAATATGGAAGTGGTTTTTCATCCATTAAAATGAAAGGCTCCGAACATAACGATTGGTTTAATTCAGATCATTCAACCAAAACAAATTATTCTGGAGGGATTCAAGGAGGCATTTCAAATGGAATGGATATATATTTTAATGTGGCCTTTAAACCTGTTCCCACTATTATGCTGCCACAAGAAAGTATAGATAAATATGGAAATAAAGTAATTGTAGAAGGAAAAGGAAGGCACGACCCATGTGTTGTGCCAAGAGCTGTTCCAATAGTTGAGGCTATGGCGGCTATGGTATTATTAGATGCATATTTAATTAATAAAACAATAAAACAACATTAATGGAATTACAAGAATATATTGAAAAAGCAATGAGTTTTGAAACATATTTTTCTTATGTTGAAAGGCAAATCACAGAAAGTGTTGATAACCATAAAGAATACTATCCCTTAAATTACAAAAGAATGGAAAGACTAAATAAAAGCATAGTTGTTCCAGATGAGATAAAAGAAAAGATAAACCAATTAAAACCCCTATATTATTTGGTTTTAGCAGAAGGTTGGTGTGGAGACTGCTCTCAAATAATGCCTGTATTAGATAAAATAGCTCAAGTTTCAGATAAAATAGAGTTAAAAATTCTTGTTGCAGAGCAAAATACGGAATTATTAGATCAATATTTAACCAATAATTCTCGTTCTGTTCCAGTGGTTATAGGCATAAATAAGGAAAATTTTAAAGAAGAATTCAAATGGGGACCAAGGCCTTCTTTTGGTTTAGATTTATTAAAAAAATATAAATCTGATGAGAATTATACAAAAGAACAATTTGTAAAAGACTTACAAATAGCCTATAACAAGGATAAAGGAGTTACCATTATGAATGAATTAATAGCATTACATATTAATGAAACAAAATAAAATATTTATTTTAATCATAGGGCTAATAATTATAGGATTTGTCCTATATCTCTCTCCTTTTGGTAAATTAATTAAAGATGAATTAAGACCAATAAAACAAACCGTAAAACAACAGGAAAATGTTATTACTCTTGAAGAGAATGATTTTAAGATGGAGTTGGGAGGAATAAATACAAAAGATATAAGTCTTACTAATTTAAAAGGAAAAGTGATTTTTATTAATTTTTGGGCCACATGGTGTGAGCCATGCAGACAAGAGATGCCAAGTATTCAGGCAATTTATAATAAATATCAAGACAAGATGTCATTTGTTACAATTGCCTTACCAGCAAGAGGAGAGAATATAAAAGAAGAAGTAAAACAATATTTAAAAAAAAATAATTACACTTTACCTGTCTATGAATTAGAAACAAGACCAAGTTCAATTTTTGAAATAAGTTCTGTTCCCACAACATTTATTGTAGATAAAAAAGGTAATTTGGTCTATAAATTAGAAGGTTCAAGAAATTGGGATGATGAAGAAATAAATCAAACAATAAATAAATTAATAAAAGAATGAGTTTGGAATAATTTTTGTTCGAGTAAAAACTAAAAATAAAAAAATAAAAAATGAAATCCATCAATACCAATCAAAAAAATATTTCTATTTCGGAAAAAATCAAAGTTTTTTTTAGAATGATTTCGCTAACTTTTAAGGGGGATTATAAACCCAATAAGACAAATTTGATTTTGGGTTTTTTGTCTGTAGTGTATTTTTTTTCACCACTTGATTTTATACCAGAAATTCCTTTGGGTCC